ATTTATCTTTTAAATCATTTTATTTTTTAAATTTTTCCATTTTATTATTTTGTTAGTTTTTTTAATTGCTTTTTTTAAAATTTAATTATTTTTTCATATTATTTGTTCTTTCTTTCTTTCTCTCTTTATTTTGCTTTTAAAGGAAGCAAAGGAAATATGCGCAGTATAAATGTTGTTGTGCCTTTGCTTTTAAAACGATATTATAAAAATAATTTGAATAAAAAAATAAAAATGAAAAAATAATTGAAAATAAATCCATTTAAAAAAATAAAAATAAATATTTTTTTGTTATTGTTTTATTTATTTGTCTTTATATTTCTACTTTTATTAGCCTTTTCTTTCATGGATTCATTTTTGTTTAATATTGCTTTATATTGTCACATTATTATTATTATTATTTTTATTTATTCTTCTTTTTAATTTCCACTTTTTAAAAAAAATTATTTTATTGATTTATTTTTTGTAATTCAGAACTCTCACCACTCCATTGGTTGGTGCAACGATTCAACAATGCATATATGTTTTGTATTTAGTATATCGAGGGTGAAGCTGCATTGATATTTACATTTATACAGATTATCTACAGAGTGCACAGTGAAGCTGTGGACCTGCAACATGACCACTAATCGTGCCTTCTAGCTCCATCAGAGCAGCAGCACTGTGTAGCAGCACTAAATGAACACCAGGGGGGGACAAAGCACCCGCAAAGGGGAGTTTACGTTTTTATCTCCGTTCTGAACTTTGTCCTGATCCCTAAACAGACACCCGGGGAACCGGGCTGCTGAAGGAAAATGAGTTTCCAAGTGCACATGCAATCACCAGCACTCAGTTTCTCCAGACTTATGCAAACTAAATGTGTGAGAATCGATCTGTCTCTGTCCTCACTGCCTCCCTAAAGCTGCCCCCCTGCTGACATCAGTGTTCAGGCCTCTGTGCGCCTCGGACTCTGCTAGAAGAACCTCTGCTCCTGCTCAGCTCTGAGTTCTGTTCGTTAACGAGCGCCGTGCGCCTCAGCTCTGACCTTTAAACGGTATCTTGGCATATTTGTGCAGGTTCTCCTCCAGTTTCTGGTAGTCCACGTCCTCCTTGGCGGTGAACGGGGTGGCGATGGGCGGATAGATCCCGCTGAGGTCCAGCCTGGCCGCCGCTGCTGCGTGGCTCTGGGTTCGTGTCCATGCTCTCCAGGGACGTGCCCTGCACAGGGAGCTCACAGCGCTCATGGCCCGGACGCACTGCATGGTGGAGCGGATTAGAGTGACCGAGCTGCTCGCTGCCTGCGTGCTGGGAGTCTGAGCAGCTGCTGCAGGCAAAGGCCAGTTAATCACTAACCTGCTTCTTCAAATATTGACCATAAATAATCATTTATGAACAACTCTGAACTTCTTTGCTTGAAACGACGCTGTTCAGACAACAGCGGGGTTTGAGTCGGTTTTGCGCTGCGCTGTGCGTAAAAGCTGCTTTTTCCTGTTGGCTTCACGTGAATGCCGACATGACGGAGACATGCGTTTACCTGAGACTGTTCAACCAACCGAGACACACTAAACAGCGACTTTTTCAGGCACGTAGACGACCTGCCACACATCCAGAGCTCCGCCCAGGATGCGTCAGGGCTCATCGGCCACAAGCAAGTTTGAGCATTAACGCAAACTGAAGGTTCCCGGTGCTGATGGGTCGAACTGCAACCAAACTCTGTTGTCAGCATGTAAACCAGTTGGATAAGTATATTATGCTTGTCATGCTGCAACTCTGCTTAGAAAAGCCCTAAACATCAGTCCATGGTTTGATCCGAACAGTCACTTCTTATGAAACCTCCTGATTAAACAACAACCAGCTCTATGAAAGCAAGTAGGGATAAAGTAATGATTCACTTTAAAGGAAGCTGCAAGAGGAATACAATCTAAAATAGAAATATATATATATATAGGAAAGTGAAAGATAGAGAAAAAAAAATGGCCCGCTGCTTTTTTTTTGTTTGTAATTTTAGTAATTATATGTAAATTACTACAGCTGAGTTAAATTAATATATTTCTAAATGTTCTGAGCAAAACAAACCTGACATGTTGGTGTCTGACGTGCAGCTGGTGGATGTGATGGTTCCTCTGATAGCTTTTACACTCCTGCCCCCATGTGGAGCAAACCTTAGTTGCATCGACTTCAGGAGCTTTTGCAGTTGTTGGCATTAACTGGGCTGTGATGGATGTGAATGTTCAGGGAAGAAACCTGCAGTCTAACAGAATCTCGGTCCGGTTAAACGATTCTGTCGCCACCTTTAAAACTCACATTAAATCCTTTGGCTCCGTAAAACCTCGTGGCTACTGCTGCACATACTTCAGTGTGCCGATGCTCTAAACCACTGTTGTTTTCAGTTTATTCTACAGTATTTTATAGTAAAATATTGTGTTGTTTCCGTTTTATAGCAACAGTTTGGGGAATGAGTAGAAGGCAGCACACCTGCTGAGTGTCCTTTAAGGAGCAGGAATCAGATCCCACAGACTTCCAAATCATTTTAAAAAGCAGTTGACT